AGCAAGATGTTTTTAACGAATTCATATAAAAGTGGCAAATTTATTTTTTCTCATTTCACTCAGAAATGTATGATGAACATAAGTCATACACCGTTTCCTATCAACTGATAACAAAATTGTTTTTCCTTACGTTCAAATTCTATTATAACTCATTTTATTGTAAAATCCAAAAAAAAATGAAATGATTTTTAAATATATTTCAAACTCGAACTAACGAAATCAGTAAATATGTTGGAAAAATTCTACATAAAAGAAAATTTCATTTACGATAAAATCCGAGTTCATCGCAATTTTTTACATTACCAGTTAAATTTTAGTTAGTTTTAGTCAAACTAACGATTCTTATATAAAATATTTCAAAAAAATCCACAATGTTTTATTTTCAACATTGAGAAAAACCAGATTCGAATCAAGTTCATAAGTAAAAGACTTTTGTAATTTAGAGCAGTTCAATACTGTTTAAAACAAATGAGAATGAGTCATTTTAATGAAATCGATGTTTATTTCTACTTCATACTTTTGTTTTCATTTTAGTACCAATGCGTGCAAGTTCCATTGATATCCATCCGAATGCAGAATGGTCACAGAATGGTATCACTGTTGCTGGAGGAAATGGATGGGGCAGTGAAACCAATCAACTCGCTAACCCATGGGGTTTGTACGTCGACGATGATCAAACGATTTATGTCGCTGATCACGATAATCACCGTATTATGGAATGGAAATCTGGTGCAACGAATGGAAAAGTAGTTGCTGGTGGAAATGGACAAGGAAATGGAACTCATCAGTTAAATCACCCAGTTGATGTGATTATCGACAAAGAGAGCGACAGTCTCATCATCAGCGATTGTGGGAATAGAAGAGTAGTCCGATGGCCTCGTCGAAATGGTACTCGTGGAGAAACAATTATTTCAAATATCGCTTGTGTGGGTTTGACAATGGATGACAATGGTTCTCTCTATGTCGTTGACTGGAAACAACATGAAGTGAGACGATATAAAATTGGTGACACTAAAGGAACAGTAGTTGCAGGTGGTAATGGAGAAGGAAATCGTCTCGATCAACTCTCTCGCCCCCACTACATATTTGTCGATCGAGACCATTCAGTTTATGTGTCTGATTGGAAAAATCATCGTGTAATGAAATGGGAAGAAGGTGCAAAACAAGGCATTGTCGTAGTCGGTGGTCAAGAACAAGGAAATAGCCTTACACAATTGAATGAACCTGAAAGAGTCATTGTTGATCAATTGGGTACTGTCTATGTGGCTGATTCTTGGAATCATCGAATCATGCGCTGGCCAAAAGGAGTCACACAAGGGAGTGTCATTGTTGGTAGAAACGGTTATGGAGCACAGTCGAATCAACTCGCTTCTCCCATAGGTTTATCATTTGATCGACATGGTAATCTCTATATCGCCGAATATGGAAATCATCGAGTACAAAAATTTGATATCGTATGAAATTCAATACGATGATGAATTTTATTCTTTTTTGTTCTCTTTCTCTTACAAATCGTGATTGAATGAAAAAATGAATTCATAGGTATTCTATTCGCGCGCGCGTCCAGGAACCATCCTGGTGGAGCCGTGGCGAGGTAATGCTCATGCACGCCCGGGAAGACCCACATCATCCATATACACCCATCCGATGTCATATGTCAGTGAGTCTGGGGTCCGATCGTGTGCCACGAACACCAAGACAAATCCTGGCCGAGCTTTTAGGGACCACCCGCAAGTCCTTCTTAGAAGGTGAAACCCTAATCTCAACGTACCTCACTCACTCTAACTTCTCTCATCTCAAGAAAAAAAATGACTCACTCGTCGATGTTGAATGATGTTGATAACTAAAAGGAAAAGAAAAAAATATTTAAACGATGATGAAAAAAAAGATAACTTACCCCTATTATCTATTTCTTCATAAGTCAATTGCTAAAATATAAAAACATTTATAAAAAAGATCATAGGAGGACTTACCACCCTCCAAAATAATCGTAAAAAGAAAAAAAAATTAAAATTAATACCTACATTTTTTTATTGTGTTGATTTGAATAATTTTGTATGGTTGAAGCCAATCTAAACTATAAAAAGAAAAGATTAGAATTTGATTCAATGAATTGAATGATTTTTACATGGAAAATCATTCATATTTATATGTTAAAAAATCGATATTTTTCTTTTTTTTTCGTCAGAGAGTGATCAAAAGGCGATAATAATTAAGCTATCATCAACATATACACATACATTGAGATAAATTCAATCACAAATATCTCAATGTATGTGTATGGGATAATGCTTAATTGATATACACATGGATTATGTCATATTATCATTGATCATCAATGATAACCTGAACAATCACGACTTACGGACGAGAGAAGAAAGGGTGTGGGTGTGGGTGTGGGTGTGTGTAGATGTGGGTGGTTGTGGGTGGGTGTGGGTGTGGGTGTGGGTGGGTGGGTGTTGGTGTGGATGGGTGGGTGTGGGTGGGTGGGTTTGTGGGTGTGGGTGTGGGCGTGGGTGTCCGTGTGGGTGTGGGTGTGGGTGCGTGGGTGGGTGTGGGTGTGTGGGTGGGTGAGTCTATGGGCTTTTTTATTTCAAACTGAATTCTAAAATCAAAAAAACCACACCAATTTCTTCCGAATCAAACTTTTCTCGCTTGATACTACGTAGTCTCACTAAAAACCCTTAGTCCCCCCTAGTCCTGCAAAGTCCCCCTTAGTCCCCCCCACAAAAAGCTTAGTCCCCGCTTAGTCCCCTGTGCAGGGGACTAAAGCCTATAGTACACAAAACCACAAGCACACCCTTACCCTCACTCGCGCGCCCACACCCGCACCATGGGTGTGGGTGTGTGTGTGGGTCCCAGACCAACACCCACACCCTCAGTCACCCCCCCCCCCCTCACTCCTAGACTCACGTTTCAGTTTGAAATCAAGTATTATTTTTAGTTGATAAATTCAGACTGAAATTAAATAGCCCATTGTATGGGGTGGGTGTGGGTGTGGGTGTGGGTGTGGGTGAGGGTGTGGGTGTGGGTGTGGGGTGTGGGTGTGGGTGTGGGTGGGTGTGGGTGTGGGTGTGGGTGGGTGTGGGTGTGGGTGGGTGTGGGTGTGGGTGTGTGGGTGGGTGTGGGGTGTGGGTGTGGGTGTAGGTGTGGGTGTTCGGTGTGAATGTGGGTGGGTGTGAGTGTCGATGTGAGTGTTCCTGTGAGTGTAGATGTTGATGCGTTAGTGGAAGTGTTCGCCTAGCGACTTATGGTCCCATATCCACACGCACATCCACCCACCCACACACCCACACCCACACCCACCCACACACCCACACC